CGATCCAAGAATAAAACAAAACAGAAAATTACTTTTTTTTTTTTGTTTGAAGTCCTTATTTGGCCTTTTAACAAAATATGTAAAAAGATAAAACAGAAATACATTTTTGATATTAATAATTTATTACTATGCGATAAGTCAAGATAATTTTTTGTGTAGTCTTTTGCCCTCTGTTATCTGGTATGTGTGTGTGTGTGGGGGGGGGGTGCGTGTGTGGCTCAAAAAGATAAAGTGGGATATAGAAGGTTTTACATTTGTCTCGATTATAAGCTCAACTAGCATGCATTTGGGCGGAGGTACCTCACAAGTACTTGGTTAGTAACCTTACTTGCAACTAGAACAGATCATGATGTTTAAATCCAGCAGCTCTGCTCGCTGCTCCAGCATTATCCATCACACTGACAAAAGAAACAGCATGACTAAACAAGTGGACTCCCTGGGAAATGATATGGAGAGGGAGGAAAGAAGCTGAAAAGTTAGAGGACAGAGAGACAGAGAGAGGAGCAACAACGCACACAGAATATTTCTAACCTAATTTGTGGATTTTTGGAGAAAAAGAAATGCTGCAGCTAGAATCTAAAATGAGGGAAATCTACATAAAATCATGTTGGCATCAAAGGAAGGGTTTAAAAAACTGTTAACAAGATAATGTGAGTATGAAAAAGCAGCATATTGAAGATCCTCAAGAAGGGAAACATTGGAGGAAATAAGCGAGACATCCAAATACAATTCATGGACTTTAAAGGGATCAAAAGATAGGGTTCAAACCACCTATTATTTATTTTTAGTAATAGTTCAATTTAATATCAAGAAATAAATCTATGGTTGGTTTCAGTATCAGAATCAGACATACTTTAATAATCCCAGAGGGAAATTACAGTTTTTTTCTGCTAGTAGTATATAATCAACCTTCGTTTGAAGATTTTACAGTATTTCTTCCCTTTCTGATATCAAGGTTTTTCAACACAATGTTTAGGACATCAGTGTTTTTATAAATCTGCTACAAAGCAAAGACTGAACATAAATCAGCAATAACAATCTATCTTGATGTACACACGTATAAGGAGGTCTATGTGTGAAAAAAGATGCTGACAATAAGACAGTTTCTAAGACTACTGATACAGTTAAGGAATTAAATAAAGGAAACTCCTTATCGGGATGCAAGTTATCAAGAAATGAATGAATATAAATTTATGCGTTTTATTGATCAGATGATGATTAATTGATGAGAGGCATTTTTTTTTACTGAGTTTGCTTATTTATCATAACATGAAGGGCTAAATACTGTTTATTTTACAATATGCTAAATTTACATATTTTTATATTAAATCTCTTTGTTTTGCCAATCATATAACAATTCAAGTTCTGAACATTAATCAGCTGAAAACCTTATTCAACCTTTCTCACTGCTGTGATAGACGGGGAATTATAGATATTAATTAGAAGGGTATTAATTATTCAGAAAAGTCTTAAGAAACCGTCTCTTGCCCCAGATGACTTGGTAAATTATAGACCTATATCCAATCTTCCTTTCTTATCTAAAATTCTTGAGAAAGTAGTTGCCAAACAAGTGTGCGATCACTTACACCATAATTAACTTTTTGAAGAGTTTCAGTCTGACTTTAGAGCTCATCATAGCACTGAAACAGGTCTGGTGAAAGTCACTAATGATATTCTCATGGCCTCAGATAATGGACTTGTATCTGTGCTCATCCTGTTAGATCTTAGTGCTGCATTTGATACAGATGACCAAAATATTCTTTTGAAAGACTTGAATATTGTGTTGGAATTAAAGGAACAGCACTAGACTGGTTTAAATCTTATCTATCTGATCGATTTCAATTTGTTCACGTTAATGACAAATCTTCCTCATGCACCACAGGGATCCATCTTTCATCTGCGCTTGGTCTGTGCACACTATGTTATAAAAGTTTCTTTTATTTACAAACAGAATGATACAAAGTTCATTCTCCCTTCTTGTCACCATTAAACAGTGTAAATGGTCCAGAACTGGACTCTGGATTTGGTTTCTTCCTTCGCAGGCCCTCGGCTCTGGCAATTCGTCTCTTTTGAACAACAGTAAGGTGCCTCTAGTGGATGAAGGTAGCATTATAATATTGAAAGAAATTACTTTTAAGATATTATATATATATAATTGATAAGATGTTATCAATTAATCATTTATATTTAATAAATATATATTTTAATAAACCTTTGATCAAAAATTATTTCTACTGCATTTTTTACATTCCAACCCCTTAATTGATGGCATTTAGGAGATTCAGAGTTAGCACAATGGGGTGCGTTACCACAGTGTGAAGATAGAAAACATCAGCGATGTTTGGCCAAGAACAGATTTGTAATTCTAATGCCATAAAATTAATAAAGATTTGTTTTAATGTTAAATTGGAATTGCTTTCCAAAAGTATTCACAACCATTATATATAACATCTTTCAATGTCCCAAACTGTATGCGATACACCAGTGATAAAATCAATTGATAATAATAAAATATATATATATATATATATATATATATATATATATATAAAAGAGCGCCATGTTTCATTTCCTTCCAACAAAGCTAATAATCTCTACAAACAACATTTTGTAACATTTACATTTGCATATTTGTTGAGTGTATCTTTCCAGTTTTGCCCATTCAAATCACATTTCTCGTGAGCAACAGCTCAAGCTAAATCAGATTGAATGGAAAGATGATTCGACAGATTTCAACTGGATTCTTAGTGAAGCTAAAATATGAATATGCTCTGATATTCTTGTATCTTGCTGGCCTTATGTTTAGGCTCAATGTTCAACGTGAAGATTTTAGTTTTCCTCCAGATGTACCCAGCAGGTCAACTTACAGTTGACCCATTTAACAACTCCTATTTCCTGGGTTATGAATATCTGTAGTCCCCCATCCATACAGGGGACTCACTGAAGAAGCCTTTTAGCAAAACTTGACCGGGTGAGAATATATCCCCATTTGGAAGAAAGAAGTACAGAGTAAGAGTGAATCTAGTCTTTAAATAAAGGAAAGTAAGTGAAAATGATGAGTAAATAACACAATGTTTACTGGGAAGTTCTTTGTGGGCTACAGGATTTCATAATCACAAGAAATTTACTTCCTTCCAATTTCCTCATTTAGTTAAATTGTAAATATCAAAACATAGTTATGCCGAACATTGAACTAGTTTAAATAAAGGCTAAAATATCATCTGCGAGACAAGAAACCTTTCATTATAACAAACTATTCATTCCTTGATGTTATTAAATTTAAAATATTCTGTAACATGTTGAATACAATGATTACTTTATGAATACTTTGTTTTAACTGGAAAAAACGCTTCATTTAATAAATATTGGAAAATAATAACCTGCGAAATAAATGTGTTCATATTTCAAAACTTGCTCTTCTTTGCTTTATCTGTTTTCATAACTTGCACTAAACATCAATAATATGCTGTAAAATCTCATCAATACTGTTGAAAACGTTAATAAAATACATTTATATCCATTATAGCTTTTTGATTGTTTTTAATTGTTTAATAAGACATTAAATAAATTGTCCTTGGTCACATGTGAAGCCTTCACCTTTGACTCAAACTCAACCGCACTTAATTAGGACGTCATCAAAGCGTTCACGTATCCCATTGGTCAGTCGGGAGAGGCCCTCTTCCTTCTTGAATCTGATTGGTTGTCGTAGAAGCGCGTGTGAAGGAACCTTATGCAATACGTCAGCGTGTGTCTCTGTACAGTTGGAAAATGGCGAGCTGGTGTGTCCGCTCAGTGAGGCAGAGCTACTCTTTGTTAGCTTCTCCTGCGCTGAAGAGGTGAGCAGCGTTTTATATTCACCTTCTGTGCTGTAAAGAACCGTTTGTTCCGCTTTATAAGCCGTTGGTAGCTGCTGGTGGTAGCCGGTTAGCACCGTTAGCTTCCCTTACCTGCTTCAGACTTCACTGACCTTTACAGGAATTAAGAAAAGAGAAACACAAATACAGAAACAACTTGTTTTTATTATGGTGGTGGGTTTTAAAGTCTGTGCTCCGTGACATGGCTGACATGCCTCTGGTTAAAACTAAAAGGATGACATAACTTACTGAGGTTAAGCTATTTAAACTCGTTCCATAGTAGAGTTCTTTTTCTTTTAGCTTAACATTCTGTTTGTTCTTTGTTTTTTTCTTAAAAATCCGAGCAGCAGGATTTTCTGAATGAAATAAGGCGTCCTATTATGGCGCAGCCTGATTGGCTGGAGAAAGATGATGACATAAGTTGACATCTAAGGATGCTGCCCTGTCTGCTACTTAAAGCTGTTGGCTTACTTGCATAATGCTGTTTAGCTCTGTAATAAGCTGCTGTGATTGAATCAAAAGGCAAGTGATGCTGTTGTTTGTCTCCCCCATGAAGAGCTCCTCTGCGGCTGCTTTGCACAGCTACCCAGCAGAAAAATGGCTCCGGCTCTGAGGAGGAGGCTGAGAAGCCTGAGCAGAATGCAGCAGAGAAGGTCCTGGCTGAGGAGAAAGGCAAGCTGGAGGAGCAGCTCAAAGAGATGACAGTAAGTCATGTAACCGTCTACCTACTCTGATATCTTTCTTTCAAAAATAAACTAATCAACATCCCTTTAGGAATATTTTGGAAGCTAATAGTGTGGCATGACCAACAGGTCTATGTAACCCTCTAAGGTCAGAGATCCAACAGGTCCTGGTCAAATTAACAGCCTCCTTTAGGTGCGTGGAAGAATCCAGGAGTTGAAGACAATGACATTTTTAGCTTGTGACCCTGATGAAGAGCCATGATGCTTTGGCTTTGTCACCAGCCGATCCGAAGCACCATCCGTCCTGCGAACTATGGAAGCGAATCGTTACCATATTTCAAATTTAAAAGCATTTCCAGAAATGTTTATTTCATTTTAAGACAGTGGCTGCATTATTTGACTCATAAATAAAATTAGTAATCAGTCATCCTATTTGCATTTTCATTTTCTTCTTCAACACAGCTCATCCTCTTACTTCTTTAAAATGAAAAAGAAGACATTTAAAATTTATTTTTCAAAATGTTCCCAAGCAAACACATACCAAAATTCAATTTGAAAATTAAAAAACATTTCCAGACATGCTTTTTCATTTTAAGAATGTGGCTGCATTATTTGACTCATAAATAAAATTAGTAATCAGTCATCCTGTTTGCATTTTAATTTCCTTCTTCAACACTGCTCATCCTCTTACTTAAAATTCAAAGGAAAAAGACATTTGAGATTTATTTTTCAAAATGTTCCCAAGAAAATACCAAAATTCAATTTGAAATGTAAAATTTGAAAATGAAAAGCATTTCCAGAAATGCTCTTTTTATTTTTTATTTTTGCATTTTAAATAGAGTTTTGGTATGTATTTCCTGGGGTACATTTTGAAAAATAAATCTCAAATGTCTTTTTATTTTTCATTTTAATCAAGTAAAAGAATGAGCAATTGAAGAAGAAAATGCAAACAGGATAATTGATTACTAATTTAATTTATGAGTCAAACAATGCAGCCACATTCTTAAAATGAAAAAGCATTTCTGGAAATGCTTTTTCATTTGAAATATGGAAACGATTCGCTTCCATAGTGAACAGATATACATCCGTGTGTCCATAAATAATGTAATTGTGCTACTAAAACTACTTATTTCTATCTTTAAATCTCTAAAGAATGCTAATGCACATCTTTTAAAACATGTTTTATGACTTTAGTGAGAGAATTTCTATCATTTTTACATTTTCTTCGTTAAACTGCTTCTCTGACGTCATCATCGGACATGCTCAGAGCAGTCAGGCAAAATCGGATTAAACCATGTTTATCTGCACTTTAGTTGTATCTTTCTTTAGATTACGCTCTATATAACATAAGGTTAAAATGAAGCGAAAACATAAAACTCAAAAAGACTAGATTTATATTTAAATGCAAAGCCGAAAAAGTTAGCTCCCAGAAGTAGCGTAGGATCCCATTTCCGGTGCAGATCAGGTAGGGACGAGTGATAAAACGGAAAGGATTTTAAGGCATTTATTTTCTCAGGAAATACATTATTAACCTTTAACACATTACAGTTTAGTACGCCTACTGTTTTTGGGGAGGGAAAACATCATTTAGGTCTTTTAAAAAAAAAATAAAATTGCGTATATCTGGATGCGCAAATGAGCAGAACATGTTGTGCCTCCAGGACGGATCGGGTATTGAAAGACTTGTTTAATAACAATAGTTTCTAGTCTTCTCCAAACTTGGAGTCTTCAGCTTACTACACCACAAAGATCAGAACTTGGATCTGGGTTTGGATTTGACCGTGTTCCAGGCAAGTGACAAGTCAAACACTATTAGCCATAGGAGTTCATTACAGCCTTTTTACTTTTTCATGATTTAAAAATAAAGTTGTAAAGTTTTGTGAAGTTCAAATAAATAATGGAGCAAATACAGCACTATCCTGGAAGATAACATGTTAGGATTGGCTGAAACAGACTGGATTGAAGCAGAGGTTCACCTTTCAGCAGCCAGAGCTACAGCATAATGATTTAGATCAATTTATATTGATCTGTTCGAACAGCCTGGTCAAAAGTCCCAATCTTAGTTCACCTAAAAATATCTGAAAAACACGAAAGCTGATGTTCACTGAAATAGATAAATAGACTTCAAGGAGTCTTTAGATAAACAAAGCTGCAAAAATACACACAGAAAAAATTAGCTTTAATTGATCCATGAGAATTTAATTCTATTTAACTCCACACTTTTCAGATTCATTTTAAACAGTTTAGATATGTTGGATGTCAATTTGATTTTGAGAATTGTTTCAAATCTGATTCTGAAGATGAAGTCTTTACTCTTTTTGATCTGCCTTTATCGATTTGCTGGCATTAAAAAAAATTATAATAATTTTAAGCCGTTATCTTCAACACAAATGTGTAGTTATACAGGATTCTGATTCCATTTTTATTATTAAGGATTCATTAATAGTTAAAATAATAATAATACATTTTATTTCAAAGGTGCCTTTTTGGACACTCAAGGTCACCGTCTAAAAGATGAAAACACAATGGGAGAAACAAAATCAAAACAGAGAAAATCTGGGCTGATACTGATATTTTATGAGGAATTTTTACCATGACCTTATCTTAGATTTATTATGTTTTTACTCTGTGGACACCATGAAAAACTGACTATAACGCTAACATTGCTTTTCAGCTTCAGTCAAGCTCCCGTAATCCTGAGCTGCATCATAATCGCCATAACATGACATAACAAATAACACGATTTATTTATTTGTAGTCTTAAAAATTGCTTTTTTTAAATTACGTTTTCATATCAAGCATTTGCACTGGGTTTGAAGTGAAAGAGATGGATGTGTAAAACACAATTTGAAAAGATTAAACAAAAAAAAAATCAATCTGATTAAAAATAAAATTGGAAAAAATTAAAATATGAGAAAGTATCAGTTACTGTGAAAACCTTTTTTACGATTGTAAAGTTATTTCTGGATTTTTTTATTTATTTTCAAAGTTTCCATTAACAAAATTTGTTCTTTGCAACAAAAATGAAACTAAATGTAATCCATACATTGCTTAAAAACGTTCAAATTGGCCTATATCATCCAACCCGAAGTATTATATTAGCACTAATCAGCAAATCATTACAGCAACTGTAGTTAATGGTGTAAGGACAGTAAAATATGTATTTTAAA